TTTGCGTTAATCTGATTGGATACTGGTTGTTGATTTGAAGATAACAATTCTACAGTACATCTTGATTTACTTACATTTAATAGGCTACCACTAGGTTGGTTATTTCTCAGTTCACCAGCACTACATACCTGTATGTCAAACATAACTTCGGATTATAATATCAATCACATCCAACAACAATTTTATTTAGATAAAAAATTAACAAAGACTATGTGAATTTACATAGAATATATTTAAATTTATGAAGACTTTCAGTTGTTCACCTATCAATACATTATTATTTATAGTGAGAAAAATAAAAAGTGAATTGAAAATCATTGAGTAGCCTCCTTATTTTCTGATAAAATAATGTTAACACCCTTCTCTACCAAGCTAATTTAATTTGCATGTTAAGTTAACTACTAGTAAACATACGCATATGCACATAATTGGATGACAATACACTGTCTTTTATACGATACAATCGTAAACTTAACTACGAGAACTAAACACACTTTTTATATTACCTAAAAATATGTTATAAAGTTGCAAACGTTAGTGTACAAAAAATGAGCATTTTTCACAAGGATTAATAAGTAAACAGATGTATCAATGTTGTACTAGTAGTTATTATTACTTTAAAATCTGTATAATGTGTGTACTTTTATGTCCAGCCCACAGGCCTTCCCCAGCCACTGGACATTTTAATTAATCTATTCATCTCGAGTCATAATTCACTGCCTTTCAACAAGGCCAATCATTCGCACAACGCATGTCTGACTTATTTCGTCCTGAAACCCCGCTCTAGAATACATGTTGGAGCATTTAATGTACAGATATTATGCCAAATAGGGCAACAGGCTTCGTTAGCTAGGACATTAGAATTTCGATCAATCGATGTATGCTGCGTCTACGCGCATACAGGATCCTAGAAAAGTCATTATTCTGATTTCGCCTTGTTAAAACAAAGAAGCAGCTCGATTTACTCTTCGTGTATCTGTTAGCCCTGAGGCTGCTTCCAGGGGACTCGCTTGTGTAGGTATAGCATTGAGTCGTATGGCAGAACTAACTCTCCTAGACTGGATCCCAGTAGATAGTCGCTTGTCCGCTGTCCGACTGAACGGGACAGATAGGGACACCGTCGTTGCCTCTTCGTCGTATCTGCCTATGCCCCCACTGACTGCAGTTCAAACGAGGTTAAAGATGAGTTTTACAGAAAGCTTGCGGACCTCCCCCGAAAATTTAGGCGCACTGATGTAGTAATAATGGCTGGTGACTTTAATGCTCCAGTAGGTACACTAAATGAAAATGAAAGACACCTAGGTGGAAGTTATGGTGTCGCGGCTCATAGAACAGACAATGGTGACCGTCTGTTGCAAGTATGCTCAGACAACCGCCTATTCTTAGCAAACACTAACTTTAGACATAAGGAAAAACATCTCTTGACCTGGCGACCTCCAAAGTCGTCTCAACGTTGGACGCAACTAGATCACATTGCAATCAGCCACCGATGGAGGGGTTCGATAGAAGACTGTCGCTCGTTCTGGGGCACATGTTTGGATTCAGATCATGCCTTAGTGCGAGCGCGTATTTGTTTGAAGCTTACTGGGCGTAGGAAAGACACCGTAAGAAAGCCTCTTAGGGTTTTACTTAATGATAATCAAGCTAAGAAAATATTTCAGGAACAACTAGAAAAAGAGTTAGGCAACCATGTAAGCTATTCCCATCCGGATGCAGGTTGGAATGATATCAAAAAGTCTGTGGAAACAGCAGTGATATCTGCTAGTAAGGTAAACCATAAGCCTAGAATGAAACCGTGGATTTCAGTAGCATCCAACGAACTGATGGATGCTCGTAAACTCATCCCACCTGGCTCTGAACATGATGAAGAACGAAGTCAGCTTAAGTGCAGGCTGATAAAAAACCTGCGCAACGACCGTGAACAGCGGAGGGTGGCGAAAGCAAAAGCGATGGAAAAGGCATTGGCGATAGGCAACATTAGACAACTTTTCCGACTTATCAAGTGAACTGGTATTAGTAATCCTAGTGTAAGTGAGACTAGCTCAGAAAAGGATGGTCTTATTATCCATTCTCAATCCAGGAGATTGGACTGATGGGCAGAACACTTTAAGGATCAGTTCAACTAACCTTCAGTCACACTTCGGTTACCCGGTCATCCTGAATGGCAAGTCAATGTGCGCCCTCCGAACCGTTATGAAGTTGAAAAGGCTATAGGGAATCTGAAGCGAGAGAGAGCAACGAAACCCGATAGATTGACTTCTGAGAGTTTTAAGAATGGCGGTCCAGTTTTAGCAGCTAAATTGACTGAAATCATAGGTAGAATCTGGGAACTGGATGTAATCCCATCTGACTGGTCTCAGTCACTGATTGTCCCAATTTATAAGAAAGGACAAAAGTCTTCTTGTGACAATCACAGGGGAATAAGTCTAACTAACATAGTTTCGAAATTGTTAGCCTCGATTATACTTAGACGCCATACTAGTGCTCGTGAAGAGCAGACTAGAGAAAACCAGGCTGGTTTCAGACCTGGACGTGGATGTATAGAACACATCTTCACACTACGACAGGTCCTGGAACACAGGCATACACTTGGGCTTCCTACACCAGTTGTCTTCCTGGACTTCAAGGCGGCATTCGACTCAGTTGATCGTGAGGTTCTGTGGCAGTGTCTGTCATTGAAAGGTGTACCAAAGAAGTACATTAACCTCACACAGGCTGTTTACTCGAACACTACTGGTCGAGTGATGGCTTATGGCGAACTGTCATCGGAATTTTTTACTTCAAGTGGTGTCCGTCAGGGATGTCCACTTTCCCCATTCTTGTTTAATTTTGTCATAGACATGCTGCTAGATATAACCTTATCCTCGTCTGAATTTTCAGGAGTGGACCTTCTACCAGGAAAATCGCTTACTGATCTAGAATATGCCGACGACATAGTTCTATTTGGTGAAGACGCTGACAAAATGCAGAGTCTTCTGACTACCCTAAGCAACAATGCTAGCATGTTCAGGATGCGGTTTTTACCCGCGAAATGCAAAATGCTGTTTAAGGATTGGGTTGCATCGGCACCTGAACTAGTGATAGTGAGTGAAGTAGAAGAACGTGTAGACCGCTTCACGTATCTCGCGAATCTCATCAGCGCTGACGCCCTGATGACCTCAGCTCGGATACAGAAAGCTCTGTTGGCTTTTGCTAACTTGCGTCACTTATGGCGCAGGCGAGATATCCGCCCGCTTACCAAAGGGAGAGCGTACTGTTCAGCAGTTCGCTCCGTCCTACTGTACGGATGCGAAACATGGCCGTTAAGAGTAGAGGACTTTCGCAGGTTACTAGTCTTCGACCATCGTTGTTTTCGAAGCATTGCTCGTGTATTATGGGACAGCCGCATAAGCAATGCTGTCGTTAGGAGTTCTAGGTAGGGATGGCAAATCAATAGATGAAGCATTGAAACTTCATCAGTTGAGGTGGTTAGGACATGTGTTACGTATGCGTAACCACCGACTGCCTCGATGAGCTATGTTTCGCGATGTAAGAGTAGGTTGGAAGAAGGCTAGGGGCGGCCAAACCAAAACATGGTAGAAATCCATGAAGTCACTGACAAGTGGACTGAGTTATGTTAGTATATGTAGGCTACCTGGTTGGGGTCCGTGAGACGAAAGTCACCGATGGTTAGAGAATTTGAATGACATGGCTCGGAGTTATGTGCAATGGCGCAGATGCATCCATTCTTTGTCCTCTCTCAAATTTGAATCTTCTGAATTCCTCATGACCATTTTTCTCCCTTTCCTTTTTTTCTTTTTGTACATTGATCTTTCTGGGATATACTTCTTGAAGGATATCTTTCAACACTTATCCTTTTGATTACCGGCAATACTTCTACTGGGATTTGAATCGTCAATTCGACCCCTGTGCTAATGTGGTATGGGAGCCTGAAGTGATGTACCTATGTACGAAGTTCTATGTTGTAAATGAATGACTGAATGATTGATAGTTCCTGTTGGCAAGGAATTTGCTTTTACGACATAAATATTCAACGGAAATTCATATAGTCAGTCATACGCACAGTATAACGTGAGACATGTACAAAAAGTCTAAGTGGGAACACCTAATTAGCATAGAGAAATGAAACTGTTGGACTGAGTTCTAGAGTGGTGAAAATAGTAAGAGCCTTAGTGATAATGGAAGAGATTAGACATCGAAGTCAAAATTAGAGAAAATAAAATGATGTAACAAGAATCTTTAAAGTAATTTAGAAACTTAGTACCTATGGTAAGATAATGATTGAGTGAACTTGAATTAGGGTGAGAGATTCTGAGCCATGTTATCCAAAGTCTCTAAGCATTGGTTATGATAATCGCGTAGGCCCCGACCAGAGTTAAAAACCTACCAAAAAGTTTTACATAAAGAATGGTACTTCTCCATAAAATATATCTTAGCAGATACAGTCTACGTTGTCATTTTATTTTTTAGTAATTTAAGGTTCAATAAAAAAAATAGTGAACATTATAAAAGAAAGTGATTCGATGAAATTATTGCAGTTATTGCCCTGCAAGAACGCTCCGAATATTATTGTTATGAGGATAGATTTTTAAAGATTTAATTTACATATTAAAAAGAGAGAAGCGCAAACTCGTATATTGGCTCATTTTTAAAGAATTAGCCACAATAACATTATAAAGATCTTACAGGTTTAACGTTTTTATACGGATACTTGTTTTACTTTCGTATACGAACACAATGTTCGAAAATCATAAAAAATCACTAAAGAGAATTTAGAGTTCAGACTAGATTATCGATATGGAATAATGGTGCAAAAAATTAATGGAGTAAAAGAGCAGACTTGACGAACATGTTGTTTAAATGTTTAAACTAAATATCGGAAAACCTAAAACGACAAAAAGAGAGGAAATTATTTTATCAACAAAGGCTTTATTAACGTTTTGTATTTAACCAATATGAACATAAACTTCTCACTATAGAAAAATGACAACTAAACTCACTAGCAGAATGGTCAAGGATTTGATCCGGATCACAAATGTATCCCTTTCTGTCGAGTCCACATTTTTTGAAGTCTGATAAATAGGGACTGGGTGGGAGTTCGAATTCAACATCTAAGCCATTTGAGTTATCAATTAACAGAATTAAACTAAAATGCCAAGCGAGAAGGCTTTTACGAAACATTTGATTTTGATTATGGACGGGATCTGTATAAAGGAATGTACAGAAAAACATATAAAAATAAGTGATTTTTCACTGTGAAAGTGAACAGAAAGAAATATAGGTGAATTTATACGCAATAAGGTATTTAGAAACATAGTCTGTGTACATGTGTATGTAATAAAATTTGATGTATTATATCAGATTCCGATGTAATAATTTCATTTTCGAAGACTTCTTCGCTGTTTATGACCCATAGTAAATTTCATGCACACAAAAAGCTTGAGAGTTAAATTAAACGCTAAACAAGTCTTTTTACGCTTACAAATTAAGGACACAGGAAGAGGTAAGTTTTTTCGACGATTCCAGTGGTACTGGCCTTAAATATCCTTTGCTGTCATCGATGTATGCACGGAAAAATTCTATCCCTTCTAGGACATGGAACTAGTATCTAAAAGTTATGCTGAAACCCTAGAATAAAAAGTGTAATCAGTCAAGAACAATAATTTAGGATTTTTAGGTTGGTATGTTGGATTCCTTTCGATTTCGGTAGTTTAAAATCAGTTTTAACTTATACGTGGATCAAAGTCAATGGTATGAACTGAATAATATGCTATGTGATTTTGACTAATAGTACCAACCTATACCCAAAAGCAGGTGTCGGTCAGTCAGCAACAACGTAAAGCTTTGCACGTACGTACATCAGTTCAAGTTACCATACCAAATTTGCAGAGATGAGACTGTCAACTCAAACCCCATAGTGGTAGAGGTGGTAGAAGTATAAGCAGTAATAGGAAAATTTAGGGTTCAAAGATGTTGTTAAAGGACTTTACAAGAGCTCATAAATTTTTTATGAAGCATAGATAAATATCAGTTAATAATTTTAACGTTTCGTGACGATTTTTGTTTGTTTAATGTTATTCATGATTTCGTCATGTATTATGATTAAACTGATTCTAAGACTCAGCATACTTCACAGGATAGAATATTTCTGAAAGCTTAAGTTGACAGTAGTAAGCAAAAGGTAAACTTTCGCTTCATCAGACA